CTAACGTCTTAAGCAGGCGCGTAGACTATTTTAATATAAATAAACAGAATTTAGAAAAATTTGCAATCTTTAGAGAAACCTCTAAAGGGATAGTTTACAGAGGACTAAATCTAGAACAAATACTGTGTTCCCTTATAATAGTTAAACAAGAATAAAAGAACTTTATATAAAAGTACTATAAAGCTCTAATGTTTAGTTACCTAAAGATTAGGTTCTTACAAAAAAGATTAGGATTGCTATACTTTATAAGATACCCTAATTAAAACACTTATGTACTAAAGTCTTATAAGAGTGTAACACTTATAATAAAAACAATTTTTAATAACACAAACTTTACAGGCTTCTCTAACTAGTAACAGCGCCTAGTTAACTATAGACTATAATAACTATAGATTTTATTACTAGACTACTACTGTTATAAGAACTTAGTACTAAAAGATTATATAACATAATTGCATAAGTTATTAATAAAACTACTAAATTTATTTACTTATAGCTATTAGAAAAAAGCATTACAGCTAAAGAATTTATATTTAAGCTAGAAAAAAATGTCTTTACTACTTATAAACACTTTAAAACTATTATCTTTAACTATAATAAACTATTTACTAGCAAATTCTAGGCAGCCTTAGTTAAACACTTTAGAATTAATTATAGACTCTTTACTGCCTACTACTTATAAATAGACAGACAAACAGAAAGGGTAAACACAGAAGTTAAAAAATTTCTATAAAAGTACATTACATATAAATAAATAAATTAGGCAAAATAGCTGCTAATAGCATAATTTGTTATTAACACCTTAGAATTAGTAATAACTAAGGAAACACTATATAAAGCTAACTTTAGATACACCCTATAATATAAGCCCTACAGCTTACAACTAACTAATCCCCTAGAAGCAATAGATTGCACAACTAAGCTCCTAGAGCTACATTAGAAACTTATAAAAGAAGCCTAGTTAGCTAAAGAAGCTATAGAAAAAGCAGTAAATAAAAAAAAAAAACTAGCACTAAAAATACATCTAAATAACTATATATACTTAGATATAAAGGACCTTAAGACACTAAGACTTTCTAGGAAGTTAGTAAAGAAACGCATAGAGCTATACTATGTAATATAAACACGCCCTAGCATCTATAAACTTAAACTACCTAAAGAAATGTAAATACACCCCTAGTTCTATGTTTTTAAACTTAAACTTATAACAAAAATAATCCTACTTACAACTACTAGATAAAAAAAAGAAAAATAGAAATATAAAGTAAAAAAGATCTTAAACTACAAAAGAAATAAATACTTAATAAAATGAAAAGGATAGCCTACTAGTAAAAACACATAGGAACCTTTTAAGAGCTTATTAAACACTTCTTAGGCCCTTTATAAATACTTAGAGTCCCTTCTAAACAAAACTACTTTAGAGAAAGCTCCTTAGACTAGAAAACACTATTATTAGATAAAACTGCAGTAGCATTAGCTGTCTATAATGTAGGAAGTCCCTAGCCCTTTAACATAGGTTAAGGAGAAGGGAGACTAGCTGCTTTTACCTCTAGCGCTTTAAGTTTATTTAGTAATAAGAGGTCTTCTTTTAGATACTTTGCTCTTTAATTCTCTAAAACTTTTAACTACTTTTAAATTCTCTTCTTATAAGAAATAATTAATTAAAAGTGTTTTACTAACTTCTCCTTCTTACACATTTTATCTTCTTAAGCTACCTTTGCTTCTGCTAATAATCTCTTACGCTTACACTCTAACTAGTTCTAAGCTATATTAGATATAAAAGCATTATAATAGCTCCCTTTTTTTACACACTTAACACACTTATCTAATAATAAGGACATTGCGTAAGAGGACCTGCTTAAATAACAGGCACTATATAGACGCATCTTAGTACAATAAAGAGGATTAAGACAAGTAACTGTACAAAGGCAACACTTAACAGCAGACAAACAAGAAACCTAATAAGGCATAGTTAAAAAAGATTAATATTAGACTAGCCTTTAAAGACAGGAACGCACTAGCTAAAAAGAAAATCTAACACTTGTAACAGAAAGAACGTAATAGTAAGAACGCTAACTAGAAAGGACGCCTGCGTGTTACAGCTAACAGTTAGACTGTAATAACCTAACAGGCTGTTCTACACAGCCTAAACAACATTAGATAGAAAACAGTTAGCCCTGCTCTTAACAAATTACGTAACAGGACAGATAAGGAATAGCTCTAGCTTTTAGAGAAAGGTTTTGCTAAGTGTGTTGTCTAATAGGACACACAGGCTTGTAGGCTTGCAGGCTATGCAGGTAGTTTTAAGAACAGCATGCAAGCCTGCAAAGCATGTAAACCCTATGTATATAGTCTTAATTACAACTATAGTTAGAAGGTTGTGATTACTGTTTAGTTTATTGTTAAGACTACCTGCTCTATCCTCCTTAAACTAAGAAGCTGTGACCCTATACTAGATCACAGCTGCCTTGTATATCTTGCACTATATATACCTCTACTCCTATCCCTATAGATCAGGTTTACTAGCTCTCTATACAGCCGCCAGGTTAAACCACAAGCCTGCCTACTCTTAACCCCGCCTCATCCCATACTCTGCTCGACAGACTGTACACCCAATCCAGCTAAGTTCTCTTACCCGCACCCACATTCCATTATAGGCCGACGTACTCCCGAAAATATCATTTCGCCGGAGTAAGGATTGTAACAAATACTTGCTTTCTCTGTTAAGATGTTTTAGATTTTTACTAACTCTACTTATAGTTTATGTATCTAATAGGCTTAGTTAGTAGCTTCCTAGAGGCTTAATAGTTTAAAAAGGTTTTATAATTTTACTATTTTTTAATAAAAGTTAGTAATCTTTTATTTAAGTTTTAGTAGCTTGCTAACCTTATTACTAATTTACTAGAGTTTCTTAATGATGTCTTAGATTAAATTAATCTGTTCTGCTAAGACAGCTTTACTTTAGGTAGGAACTTCTGTAGATCTTAATAGCGCAGTATAGGCTATGTTAGAATCTAAATTATGTTGTAAGGTATCTATACTTTTTAAAGAGGGTAGTGTTTAATGTTATAATCTTTACTTTATAGAAGCACTTAGGTCTTATAATGTTCCTATAGGGAAGTATAACAGAGGGTAGAGGCTAATTAGTAGGGTGTACAGTCCTACGTACAGGCTAATAGGCTAGTGGAGAATAGAAGAGCGACTAGATTGTGGTTTGCCCTATGTGCAGCAGTAGGGAGGCTAGGGTTAAACAGTCCTTTTAGACAGGGTTAGAGGTAGATATAGTGCAAGATATATAAATAGTATTATAGCTCTTTAGAAAGCTAAATGCTACTTAGTCTATGTAAAAAATAAACTTAACATTAAACACACCTTCTAAAGGTTGTTTAATGTAAGAACTATATACATATAAAGGGTGCACTAAGGCGAGTTTAGGCAAGTTTAGGTAAGCCTTATAAATTAGTCCTACTGCTAACTTGTCCTAGCTTGTGTAGACTCGCTAAGCTCTCTTAGGCCTTGCGTCCTGTGTTCCTACTAGATGACGCATTCTTCCATTACCTTAGGCAGCTGTGCTGCCTCCGTGGCTTCCGATTGGTCCATAAGCGAGCCCTGTCCCAATCCAGCTAGATTGTGGAGCACTGCTGGTGGAGTTACGCTGGTCCAACCGTAGACCGTAACACCTAGCTAGACTACTTTTAGCTATCTTTATCTCTCTAAACCTGTAATAACTACTCTAGTAGATATTTAGCCTATTATAAACTCTGTTTTATTAAAGTTATACATGTTATTATCTTAAATACTATACTTAGCTTTAATATTCTTTATAAGGTTAAACTAGCTTTAAATTACTATAAAATTTTTATAAAAAGCTTTTTTATAGTTATACTTATACTTAAACTTTACTTTAAGCTTTAAGTAACGCTTAATAAACATATTAGACTAGTTTATACTAATATAGCCTATATTATGCTTAGTGTGCAAAGAATTAGCTATATTAGCTATAGCTGCTAGCTAGGGGGGAAATCCTTGCGCATTTAGCTTAAGTATGTGCTAAATAATTACTTACTTTTTATTATTATCTAGCTTTTATAAGTTAGCTATATAATTAGCTTAGAAAGGTTGTCTAGTGTGTTAGTTACTTATTATTTTTTAAAAAACTCTATAAATAGCTGCAGCATGTTAGTTAAAAAGTATTATATTTTATTTAAAAGCTTAAAGTGTAAGCTGCATCTAATGTTCTTTTAACACGTTTAAGTAGTGTTATTAAAAATGCATTAGTGTAAAAAGAGTAGTGTAGTAAGGTCTTAGCAAAAGTAAGCAACTTAGGTGTGTAAGCAACTTGCCTATAAAGTACGTTAGTGGTTTTTTTATATAAAGCTTATTAAAGTATTTAGAGAGTTTCTTTTCTTATACCTTATTAAGAAGTTAATTTTTGTGCTTCTCTGCATAGGTGCCCTGCACCCTGCGGTGGCGTTTCAATTGTATAGAGCGATAACAACTATATTTTCTCGCTGTTGCACTAAAATTAGGTTTTTCTCTAAGCTTTAGCAATTTAAACCACGCTAGCGCGGCCTTAATTAGGCCTATACTAGTGGAGATAATGTTAATTGAAAAGTTGATGGATTTTAGTTGTGTAGATTAAACTGAGGAGCAGAGGTGCTGCTTCGAAGGAAGATATACCCATGCCAATGCCTAGGCGAGGCCCTAGGCCTGAAGGGAGAACTACCCTCCAGGATGTGGCGTGACGCACCGTCACATTGTGTGTGCGTTACGAGGGGCTGTGCGTTAAGCGATGAAATACGGTAGCGCACCATTCTTCTACTTAGATCGGTGAGGGGTTGCCAAGAACATAGCTGCCTAACCGCACCAAGAATATTTGCCTCTGCATACGTCAAAATACCTATTCATACTAAGGAACAAGAGTTATTCCACCTGGTTCCTAACCATCATCGCATACCTTCCGAAATTGAGTTGTTTCGCAGCAAACAGCGTATACAGCCATGGAACCAGCAGGCCTAGCTGTCGGTACCATAGCGCTCGTTAGCCTTTTCAGTACCTGCTTGGAAGCTCTTGAGAAGCTTGATAACTACAAGAATTTTCAAATCGATTCGCATCATCTGGCGGCTCAGTTCGAAGTAGATAAGCTCCGCTTCGAGAAATGGGGTCTAGCTGTTGGTATTGAGCAGAGCAAAGAATCAGAAAGCCGCCATGAGGCTCTCGACGATCCGAAGACATATTCGGCGGTTAAGAATATTTTGTCGATCATTCGAGACATCCAAAGAGATGCAGACGATACACTGTTACCACCTAGGTCCGGAGCAGGTACGAATTCCACGGGGAAAAAGCTTCTTCCCAATAATAAGGCCCAGCCTCATCGAAGCCGGCTTAAATGGGCGCTAAGAGACAAGGCAACATGGATAGCACAAGTAGATCAATTTGGAAAGCTAGTGCAGAGTTTGCATAACTTGGTACCCCCCGATGGGGCAAAGGATATACGCGCAAGACGGGGAGGGCCAACTGGCGGCAATGGTGCGAGAGCCAAGTCCAGCTTTTATAGAAAATATCTAACCAAGGCGTTTTCAGAGAATTTGGCAGACACTGGGATGTTAAATGCTGAATTCCAGCGAGTCCTAGCCAAGATGGAGAAGGAAATCGAAGGTTGGTCATCTTGCCTCTCTATCTCCTAGCCTTTAGCTAATTATTAAAGCTGAGACACGAAGAGACCTGAGTAACTGGCTACTGGATAGCTATAATCCGAATGAGCAATATGAAAACTCTATCCACAAAAAACTAGACGGCACATGCGACTGGATCCTAGACCGGCCTGTATTTCGTAACTGGGTTTCTAGTGAATTCCCGGGAGGAACTGCCAAGTTTCTTTGGATTAATGGACCCGCTGGGTTTGGAAAGACCATTCTCTGCGCCAGGGTGATTGAACATCTCTCGTGTACGCTGAAAGAGCCACTTGCGCACTTTTTTTTTTCATCCGACTTTGACAGCCATGGAGACCTCTACGTAGCGGTACGATCATGGATATTCCAGTTGATATCGCACCAAAGAGCATTTGAAGTGGTCTACGAGAAATGGGGAGCCCAATATGGGCAGAAAGCAACGCGAGCGACTATCGTCAAGATCTTCCGAGAGATCACCCAAGCTATACCCAAATGCACATTTATTTTAGACGGTCTGGATGAATGTATTTGGATAGGAGAGAACCAGAAGTATGGCTATCCTAACTCCGTAGCCGAGTTCCTTGAAACTATCAGGCAAGCAGTTGCAGATACAACTACTCGCATAATGATAGTCAGCCGCATTGAACCTCAAATCCGGCAAGGTTTCTGGAACTATACAAGCGAAAATTTCTTCGAATACAATATTTCTATTGAAGACGTCCAGCCTGATACGGTGGCGTATTCTAGAAGTATTGTTAACAGGAAGTTGTTTAAAAAGAACGAAACAACAAAGGACGATATTTCTCAGAAGATGGCTGACCGTTGCAATGGCCAATTCTTGTGGCTACGGATGCAAGAAGACTCGCTGGACGGCTGGATGAACAAAAAGCAGCTTGAGGACACCATTGGTGGAACCCCAATAGGACTTGAACAGCTATACGACCGAACCTGGAGCCAAATATCGCATTTCCCAGACTGGAAAAAAGGCCGGGCTGTTTCCATATTACGTTGGGCAGCGTTCGCTCTACAGCCGCTAACAGTCTGTGAGATTGCTGAAGCTCTGCTTGTTCACGACGATTACGATGATCTCCCGATCGAGGAAATGCCAGACTCAATCGACGAAGACTACATTAATAGCGGAATACTTGGCCTTTGTGGATCACTCCTAGAGGTTCGGGGTACTTTGTCAGAACCACACCTAGGATTAAGGACTGTACATCTAACTCATTTTACAGTTAAGGAGTTTCTTATCATACAATTGCCGATACAGGGGGGTTCTATAGGAGCTAACAGACGTTTGTCGACTTCAGTCGAGGCAGTTCAAGGCAGCATACTAGCAAAAACATGCCTTCGCTACATAAACTTTCCGAGGGTTTGGCAGCTGGCTCCTCATGTCGAGGCCGGTAAGGTTCAAGGGGCATTTCGAGACTATGCGGCGAATTCTTGGTACCAGCACGTCGTCGCAAGCGAGCCGCAGAATCCAGATATAGTCAGGCTTATAAACAGACTATTTGATAGGGATAACGCAAACTGGCATTCATGGAGGAAATGGTTCGACTCAAAGGACGGGGAATTAGATGAAACGGAAAGCAGAAACTGTGGCACGGTATTCGACCCTCTATATTACGCCTCACGACTTAATTTGGTTGAGACAGTAAAGCATCTCATACAGGAGGGAAACCAGGGTATATATGAAAGGACAGGTTCAGAAGAAAGAGCTTTGGCAGCTGCTTGTAGGAACGGCAACTTAACAATAGTTCAAGAATTATTTCAAGCAGGCGCAAGTGTTAATGCTGGTGTTCATGAGGGTAAGACACCGTTATACCTTGCTTCACGAAGTGGACACGAGAAGGTAGTTGGGCTACTTCTCAAGAACGGAGCAGACGTAGCAGGGGCCAGTGCAGATGGATGTACACCACTTTGCTCAGCGTCAAATAACGGCCATCTTGAAGTCGTCAAGCTGCTTCTCAAAAAAGGAGCAGACGTAGCAGGGGCCAATAAAGTTGGATGTAAGCCACTCTACCCAGCGTCAAACAACGGCCATCTAGAAGTCGTCAGGCTGCTTCTCGAGAACGGGGCAGACGTAGCAAGGGCTAATAAAAATGGATGGACGCCACTCAGCTTAGCATCCAACAACGGGCATCTTGAAGTCGTCAAGCTGCTCCTTGAGAACAGAGCAGACGTAGCAGCGCCCGGTAATAGTGGATGGACGCCACTCAACTTAGCATCAAACAACGGCCATCTCGAAGTCGTCCAGTTGCTTCTCGAGAACAAGGCAGACGTAGCAGTGGCGAGTAATAATGGATGGACGCCGCTCAACTCAGCATCAGACAGCGGCCATCTCGCAGTCGTAAAGCTGCTTCTCGAGAACGGAGCAGACGTAGCAGGGGCCAATAAAAATGGATGGACGCCACTCAACTTAGCATCAAACAACGGCCATCTCGAAGTCGTCAAGCTGCTTCTCGAGAACGGAGCAGACGTAGCAGGGGCCAATAAAGATGGATGTACACCACTCTACTCAGCGTCAAACAGCGGCCATCTTGAAGTCGTCAAGTTGCTTCTCGAGCACGAAGCAGGCGTAGCAGTAGCAAGTAATAATGGATGGACACCGCTCAACTCAGCATCAGACAGCGGCCATCTCGCAGTCGTCAAGCTGCTTCTCGAGAATGGAGCAGACGTAGCAGGGGCCAATAAAAATGGATGGACGCCACTTAACTTAGCATCAAACAACGGCCATCTCGAAGTCGTCAAGCTGCTTCTTGAGAACAGAGCAGACGTAGCAGGGGCCAATAAAGATGGATGTACGCCACTCTACTCAGCGTCAAACAGCGGCCATCTTGAAGTCGTCAAATTGCTTCTCAAGAACAAGGCAGATGTAGCAGTAGCAAGTAATAATGGATGGACACCGCTCAACTCAGCATCAGACAGCGGCCATCTCACCGTCGTCAAGCTGCTTCTCGAGAACGGAGCAGACGTAGCGGTGGCCAATAAAGATGGATGTACGCCATTGTACTCAGCGTCAAAAAACGGCCTTCTCGAAGTCGTCAAGCTGCTTCTTGAGAACGGAGCAGATATAGCAGTGGCTAGTAATGGTGGGTGGACGCCACTCAACTCTGCATCATACAACGGCCATCTTGAAGTCGTCAAATTGCTTCTCAAGAACGAGGCAGATGTAGCAGTAGCAAGTAATAGTGGATGGACACCGCTCAACTCAGCATCAGACAGCGGCCATCTGGCAGTTGTCAAGCTGCTTCTCGAGAACGGAGCAGACGTAGCGGTGGCCAATAAAGATGGATGTACGCCATTCTACTCAGCGTCAAAAGCCGGCCATCTCGAAGTTGTCAAGCTGCTTCTTGAGAACGGAGCAGACATAGCAGTGGCCAGTAATGGTGGATGGACGCCACTCAACTCTGCATCATACAACGGCCATCTTGAAGTCGTCAAGCTGCTTCTGGAGAATGGAGCAGACGTAGCAGGGGGTAATAATGACGCATGGACGCCACTCAACTCTGCTACGTACAACGGCCATCTCGAAGTCGTCAAGCTGCTTCTTGAGAAGGGAGCAGAAGTTACAGGGGCCAATAAAGATGGATGGACGCCATTCTACTCAGCGTCAAAAGCCGGCCATCTCGAAGTCGTCAAGCTGCTCCTTGAGACCGGAGCAGACGTAGC